AAACCTTGATCTTACAGCAGAAATATCTCAGCAACATTCACAAATGATTAATAGATAAGTCAGAGCTTTAGGGCCTTCCCCCTCCCCAGTTTTAGTATTTTCATAGGAACATTATTTTTACATGGTTCTGTTGAGGAACTAGAGACTCACTGACACAATAAAATCAAAACTTCCTGACAAAATTTTTTTGACATCGTACCATCCTCAGTTCAAGAATTACCCAGAATAACACTGGTAAGAGAAAACACGTATGAAATCTTATGAAAGATAAAACACAGAAGTTTCATTAGGTATTTTTGAAAATATAACAGAAAGAGTTTTATAATTCCAGTGCCATTAAAAATAACTCTTACAAAGAACAACTATTACTTTTGCGGCCATTAATATAATATGGCCTTGCATAGGATACAGATACCCAAAAGAACTACACATTTCCAGAAAGGAAAATATGGCCAAGCCCAAAAACCACCTCTAAAAACACATGCCACAGGCCTTCCACCCCTATGTTTAAGCTATTATGTATACACCGTCTTGTTGCTTTGTATTCCTTTGAGGGAAAGTAAAGCATTGAGAAAATGTATATTATATTAAAAAAAAAAGAATTAAAAAATTAAAAAGAGGTATATAAACTTTTCCTGTTTTACCCAATTTGAAAAGGGAAGGGCTGTAACACTCTCGCAAGTATGTATGGCCTTCCAAAACAATACAACAAAAGCAGTATTTGAAACAAATTCCAAAGCCATAAAAAATTCATAAACACAGTTTATAAACTGAGAGCAGAGGAGGAGGTGTGACCAAATTAATAAAATGGAAATCTACTTCAGAAAAGCTCTCTAGTTGCTGCAATGTGTTTGCAAGAGTAACATGCAGTGAAAGGAAGCTGTTCTAGCCCCACCAGACAGAAGCCCATGTTAGAACCACACTTACTGCACAGCTCCAAAACTCTCTGCTCAGAGAAGGCCAGCTGGAGAAACTAAATCACTTTCTTTCTTAGAGACTGGTTTCACCATGTCATGATTGATTCATCAGTGAGAAATCTGTGGCAGCATGTAACCTGGCTTCCTAGACTGTGTCCGGCTATGGAACCTAGATTCCAGCACTAAAATTCAGAATCATTTAAAAAAAAAAAAAAAAAAAGCAATTCTACCCTTTTAAACAGCATCTGTTCCTAAAAACACTGCCGTCTACATTGCATGTTTTAATTAAATTCCAAGTAATTTCTTTGTACTTTTTAATTCTTTCAGAGACTTACAGACATGCGCGATCGTGGTTTCTGAAACTTACTAATAATGCGGTTCAAATGGGTAGCTACCCTTCTTGTCATTAAAAACAACACAGCTTTTCTATGACAATGACAGGAAAGTTAAAATGTAAGCAAGCACCAAATACATTTTTTGCTACTTTGAAAATGCAATTTAGTAGCTGAAAACAAAAGACTTGAGATCAGCCTTCCTATCAATGACCTTAGTCAAAAACGCATTGAAAGGCCACAAAGTACTGTTTAGGAACTCGCGCTTGCCATGACAAAAAGCAAGGTGTAATTTAAAGTCAATGTACGTAGCTATAAAAACAAAGGAAAGAAGAATATTCACCGCTAACTTGACTGAATAATATCATTTTCCAATCAGATGTAACTTTGCATCTTGGGAGGAAAATTTTCATGTAAGCCATATTTAAAACCCATAAAACTAGGAAGCAATCTTAAAAAGTTTTTTTTTGTTGTTGTTGTTAAAATTAAACAGTTAATAGTACGAAGGTAAAGTTGTCTATCTCCATTACACACTCCTCCTCATTTTTTTGGTTGTTTGGGTGGGTTTTTTTGGTTGGTTGGTTGCTTGCTTGGGTTTGCTTTTTTACATTTTCTCTATCGTCAACTAAATGTACACCCAAAGATCCCAATTTATTTGATGCATGCTGGCTTACACAGTGAACTACTTTAGCTTTTTAAAAACTGAGTAATCCTCCTCAGTGTATGCTGAAGTATTAAGATGAGGAGGTAAAATTAACTATCAGCTGCAGGGCCAAAGGACAAGGCTACCGTGAAGGTCATTTCCGCAGAAGCTGAACAGCAGTTCCTATATGTAAACTTGTTTTCCATGGCTCCTGTGTCAGTGTGTATGGACCCGACACAGAGCCCCATTCTGTGTGGCCATGGATGGCTTTCCATCCGTACCCTCTAGGGAGAGCTTAAATACCTTAGATAATCTATCATTTCATTCCAAGTACAGGCAAGTTTTCCATAATACTAAAAACCTTTCAAGTAGCATTCAAATTTCAGAGCTTTATTTAGAATTAATTTCTGGATTTCAATTCCCTTTACATCATGTAGCCACAAAACCACCTTTCTCCCCACCCCCAAGAATTTGTTTCAACTATGTATTTTAGACCTCTGGCCATTTTTTTCCATAGCTTATGACAGTGTATTTGGCATCTTCTCCAGCAGAGAGTGAATATCCCTGCCATAAAGAGCTCCCGCCATATTACAAACAAGGCTGAGGTCAGATCAAACCACTGTAGAGGCTGGTCATCCAGTCAATATGAAAATAGCCGATGCAAACCTCAAATTATGGCTCTCATAGCAAATGTGTCTTGATCCCTTCCAGTGACAATCTTTTGAGACACATATAAAATGGAAAAAAAAACAGTTCAGGAGGAAACAATGTTAAGTATGCACTACGAGGGTCAACAGACTTACTATATGTTTATTTTCTTTTAAATATAAATCATTATCACACATGGCAAAAGGAACCCTTCAAGAGTAGCAAAATATTTAACTTAGGTTATTCTGTACAAACAAGCATGATAGTCCTCATTACATTGCAATTGCTGGTGACTAGAATTACAATGCTGATTAGGAAAAGGAGATAAAACCACTTTCTTCAAACAGCTTTGTGATGATGCACACTGGACAGTAAGAAATTGAGAAGAAGTTCTAACGGCTATAGAAAACAATTTAACAATACCCTTTCTTTTAATCTCAACTTTTGTATTCTTATGCTGTGCATTTTACAACCTCCCTTACCTATCCTTTTGGGGTTTTTTTTAATTAGAAGTTTTGCAAGAGCTAGTTCTTTCCCTCCAATCAAAATATGAACGTATTACATTTCAGATCATATTATGCTACACCCACTTTAGGCAACTAGGGAAATGCTGAATGATACAAATAGGTAGTAAGACATGTTTGTGCTTTGAACTCCTCCATGCCCTCTTCCTTATCACTTTTAGGTTAACTCTTGACCCGTCAAGTCACAATGACTGTTAAGGTTGATTCAAACACACAGTGGGTGAATAATTCCTGCAGACTACAGTGAGGCTTGCATAAAATGCTTACATGTTAGTCCCAATCTAAGACAGCTTCAGGTGGCAGTGCTGCCAAAAGCAGCAGTCCCACCTTCATCCAACCCCAACTGTTTGTTCTTGTTTACTTGATATTTTTTCTTATATCAGCAACACCATCAGTTCAGTTACATCCATCAGATAAGGCAACTAATCTAGATTAAAACAACTGGTTTTTTCCCCTCCCAGAAAGAAAAGCTATCTGTAGAAGATTGTCTGGGTACAACTCTCCCTCACCACTTAACACCATTAATGCACATGCTGCTGCTAATAACACATAAAATGACAAATTTTGCTCTGTTTGATAACTAAGTGCATGCTATTGTGCATCTCCTGCATCATTATGAAGAATATATCCAACCAGCAAGAAAAGGCAGAATTTTTTTTTTTTTGCATCACTTTACTTTGGTATTCAAGCATTGCCACGCTGTGAATTCCAAGTATACTAACCTCAGGAAAAGCCTCTTGAAAAAGGTTAAAGACAGGAAGAAAATAAGGGTGATTTTAGTTAGTATTATGTTGTTGAGAATTTCATGGCGTGTGGTACAACCCACCAAATAGAGATATACCGGCACCCAAGGGCATCTGAAAGTTTGTGAGAACTTACTGCTGAGAATTACTGCACCTAAATCAACAATACTACACAGTTAATTACAGTTATTTACCAACATAAACATCTGCAGTATCATTACCTATTTTATAATAATTTGTACATCCTAGAATTACATGCATACCTAGATAAACTGACATCTACAAAGTCAACTAGTAAGTAAGAAATTAACTACTTAGAGAAGCCTAGAAGTACCTTCAGCTTTAGCAGACATGAACATAAATAATGATGAGGCTGCTACATTCTCACTAGTTGTGAGGACTGTAAGATATTAAAAAAATACTTTAACAATTCCATTAATATTTTTAACCATATTTTGATATGGACCCACGGAGAATGCAAGGATGTAAAATCAACAACACTGCACCCTCAAATTGCTATTCAGCAATGTAAAGCATTAAGCATCAATGTGCTGCAAGTTATTTACATGCTGATGTGCTTTGCTAGTTCAGTGTGGAAATATATAAAATATGAACAGATGTGCCATGCAAAACCCTAAATTTGGGATTAAAGTTAAGGATTCATTATTCCTTAAGTCACTAAATATAAATCCACACACAAGCACTACCCCTCCCCTCTCTGACTGCCTTTGAAGAAAGTTTGGATACAATTAAACTCTTCATAGGCAGGAGATTAAAGAAAAGCAAAAAAGAATAAAATTAAAGAGCAAATATAAGCTGTTTTCAAAACAAACTATGGCATTTCTCCAGGTTATTTATTTTATCCTAATTGAAAGGTTCTTTTTTTTTTTTTTAATAATGCTTCCCTCCGATTTGTGGTCGTTGCTCACTATTCAGTTACTAGACTTGGTGAATCTACTAGGTTAAAAGCCATCAAAACTACCCACTTTAAAATGCCACATCTTTTTAATATTTAAAATGACAGACTAGCACTGACTGTGTTATAATTAGAGTGATATATACTTCAACACAATATGTATGCAAGTTGTGTTTGGAGCAGTTTCTTAAATGACAGTGTCTCTACGCTATAGATGTGGCACCTTTAAACAATCAATTTAATTCAAAGCAGTCCTGGGAAGGATTCATTCACTTACCCGTATCCAGCTGTTGGCCTTCAATTCCACAGGGTTCTGTGGTTCACTGCTGTATAGACAACATAAGCACCACATCAGAGTCTTCTGGCTTTCATCTGCAGGAAAAAAAGCAAGTAAGGATACATTTAGAGAAAAAAAAAGAAAAATCAAAACACAGACAGAATTACACACAACAATCCCTACCCATCCACAAAACTAAAGCCCTAAATATCTGTCTCAACTCATAATGCTTCTATTCTACCAGATTCACGCCACACATTTAATGTTATTCGTATGTAGTTCTTGTGTAATCATTTCTTTCAATAGCAATGCAAAAAGTATCAGAGTTCAAAATCTATACAATATTTAAATGGTCTTAAGAAACTTGCATGACCTAGTGATTCTTTAACATAAATAATACTTGAAGCTATCATCAAGCAACTTTCAGTTCAGTATCTAAATAATATCATTAATAATAAACAATAATCAATAGTAAAATCGTTACTACATTATGTCCAAAGCTTGTACAAGTAAAGAACGACCACTTCTGAAAAAGTTAAGTTCATGAAGTATGAAATAATTCATAACAAGAATGTAAACCATCGAGTTTTCTGTTAGAATATATTGAGATTCTCCATGTTTCAGGAAAATGACATTTCTGCAGACAGCAGAATAGCTAAATGCTGATGGAAAAAAATCCTATTGTGATTTTCTGTTCAGGATCAGATCAGGTTTTACTTAATTCTAACCCACTGTTGGAAATGAGTTGCCTTCTCTAAAAACCTACTATACTGAGCACTACTGTCACTGCTCAGATGCACAGATATTATTATAGAGGAGCTGATTATTTGGAGTAAGCAGTTGAAGAGCCATTTAACTAATTTTCAATAGGCTTTTTTTTTTTTTTTAATGTTCTTTGGCAGCCAGCAGATACCAAGAGCCTCTACACTGAATTTCATCCCAGAATAAAACTGCATGATTGTAATAAAAATTATGAAAACTGGATGCAGTATTGTAGCTCTGATATAATATTCACTTAGTAAGCAATATTATTCTTGTTAAAAATAATACAAACAAGTAATACCACATGACTTTTAGAAATTGTATTAGGAGACAATTTGATTATCAAGCTCAACAAGCGATTTCTTTTGTTTTCTGTGTATTTGTTATCCAGGATGTAATAAACAGTATTATTTAAAAGTGCTTTGTTGGCAAAGCCTGAAGAAAAAATAAAAGCTCCATTAAGTAATGCCTGTATTTTCACCAGGTGATCAGAGAAGTTAGTATTGATTTAAACCAGTATTCCTCAATAAATGTCCAACACGCCTGTAGGCCATTACTGGCCTCCCACTGACTAACATCTCTGCACAGAAATGGTTTCTCAAACACACACATTTAACTGACTACAGTTTGGGGTATTCTGCCATTGTGTGTTTGAGGATTTTTTTTTTTTAATATGGATTTTTACAAGACTAATGATTTCCTAGGTTGTTTAAGATTGGAGTTAAAGGAGACATCTTGCATACTGCTCTGCAGAAATTCAAAGTATCCTTATACTTTGGTCGTAACTATATCCAACTAGCATTCAGACATCAGCACTAAAAGGCAACTCTATCTCCTTCAAAAAACATTTCACCTAAACTCTGACATGAAATTATATGGGGGGCAAAATAAACAAATACTGTTTTATTTGTTTAAACTACTAAATGATAGCCATTTGCTTCTTGGAAGATGACGATTTTAAACATTATTAGTTACTAGTACTAAAATATTGTCTGCTTATAAAATCTGGCTTTTGAGCTAATTTTCAATTATATGAATTGTATGTTTAAAAAGTCAAAACTATACAGAAAAAATAAAGAAAGAGAAGGGGGGGGGGGGTGTCAAGTCCAAATCACCCATGCCGAACAAAGTAAACATAGTTCAAGTGTTCCTTCTTTTGACTCATCCTATTTATACTGTATATCTACAGTATGCCATTAAGTCATTTTATTTAAGTTATAGTTTTCTTTTGACCTAAAAAAAAAAAGGAAAGACGTGAAAAAAATGCACATAACTGCTTAATTAGACTTCTCGATGAGAAGACTTTTTGCTACACGTGACGACTTGCTGCATACTATAAAGTAAATTGCATATATTGTTGCCTGTCAGAAATGTAAATCAGTATGATGAAAGCTAAAGTGATGAAAACAAAGCTTAGATAAATGATATACTGGTGCACTTTGCCAGCATAATGAGTTTACACAGATTTAGCCAGATACACTCAAACCTCAACCTAAGTGAAAACAACCTACATCGGTGTCATAGCTATGCCAACAGTTCCCAGCAAATAAGGGGATTGTACAGATTCACAATTTTCACAGTCAAAATTAGTTTTTGGCTACAACCAAAACCGAAGTAGCCTCCCTGTGAAAAGTAGGAAAAGGAACCATACAGTCCTCTTGCTGAAGTACCCAATGACACTGAGGGCCACGCTCAGGTTCACTGTTTTCTTTTCAGAACTGCTTTGGAACTGGGGATGAAAGATGGGAAGATTAAGAATAAGGGGGGACAGATCTTAAAATAATTATGGCAGCTGCAAAAGATAATCACATCAAAAGACCAAACAGAGAGAGCCACAGAAAACTTACTGGTGGGCTTTTTCCTCCCATTTTTCTAGTAACTGTGATCGCCATGGAAAACGTACCGTCATGGTATGCACTGAAAACCATTATCAGGATATCAACGAAGGCATTTGATCTTCTTATGGTATGAAAGAATGCTCACTACTCAAATAAATACCCAATTAATACATCCAGAGGAACAAAATTAGTAACTCAAAGTTGGAAATTATATCCCAGAAAAGGTCACCAATTATCTACTGGACTTCTTAAGTAGGTTAATGTTGTAACTCCAACTAAAGGAATGAAAATTTTCTGTAAGAATTTAAGACAGCTTGGAAGCTGTTTTGTAAAAAATAAAAAAAAAACAACAAAAGCAAGCAAGCAAACAGAAGCCCAAACCTTTATGATGAATCAGATTGCACTTCTTCCCTGCCAGTCTCACATGAAAATTTAAAAAAAAAAAAAATAAATAAAAAAAAGGCAATGTTTTTCTCATAACACAGTGTGGTCTCAATCATCCTATGATACAGTCAGTTTATAAATACCCTGCCATGAACAGGGCCAGATGCAAGGAACTAATAAGAAACCCCTAATCTTACAGCCAGAAATATTCTTTTAGAGCTTGTTGTAAAATTTGATTGAAATAGATCAGAAAATGTTGATTAGCTAAAACTGAACTTTCTGTGGAAATGAATGTATACATAAGCATGCATGCTCACACACATATTCTGACATACAGAGCCACCAAGAAATTCCCCAGCATTTATAGTATTAGTTTGGGATTTAAGACATTTGGGCTCAAAACTCAAACCAGGAGGGTCCTACTGAGAAGATAATCCCCTAGCCCACAGAAAAAAAATTGGAATTCCTTACCAAGACTGAATTCCTCATGTATCCCTTGTGGTTTAGGACCACAAGTACAGCCATGAGATTTTCTTCAGTCGTGCTTCCTTCACATTAGCGTTCTAAATAAGGCTAACTTGGTCACCTCCTGCTCAGGAGTGTTTATGAGGAGATTATTTTCCCTTGGAGACCACGCTTCCTGCACTGAGCGGTCAGCCATGTCAGCTTCCAGCACCAATAGGCATTCATCTAAGGTGATAGGTATTGTGGTTTGGACATGATGCAGAAGTATAATGTTTTTCCTCCTCCATTTATTAGTATGAAAGACTGAATTGAACGAAATTAGTTCCTTCTAACTGTGAGGGTGGCCTGGTCTCAGACACATGCCTGAATGAGCTATTTATCCAAATGAGAAATTACATGAAACCCACTTGAGAGTCAGCATCTGCTATAGCCAGCACTATCTTAAAGAATATCTTCAGAACTATTGCCAAACAAAATGAAAATCTGCTGAATCTAAAATGCCAGCAGTCCAAAGAGCACTCAGGTGGCTCCAAAAAGAGGAAGCGGTGGGAATGTATAAGCAGACATCTTCAGGTCTATTATGTCAGAAAATCTCCTTGACTCATCTTTAAGCATTAAAGTGAAGGATTCCATTTTGAGCAAGGGAAGTTCTCCGAATTGGCTTGCTTGCAACTTTGAGACCAAAAAACCCCTGTAGTAAAACTCCATTCTCTTGCAATCTTCAGAGGTAATGATCAACTTGCAGAAAAAGTGCTTTTCTTGCTTTAGAAAATGCTGCGGGATCCCAAAGAAGAGGAAAGAAGTAGAGGAGACCAAGAACGTATTGCTGGGATTGTTATGAAAAGGAGTCAAAAGCAGAAAGATGGCTTTCAACTTTGATGAAAAATATAGATGAAGCTACTTTCTGTACCACAGTATATCATCAGCTTAGAAAAACTGGTGGTCTAAAGACTTGTATATTCCAAACAAAAACTTAGAAAGAAAAGCATGTGTGTAATTGTAAACATCAACAGTTATCAACATTCTCAAAAACTGAAACTGATTAAAAAGGGAACCTCTCCATTGTAAAAATAAGTCTGTAAAGTATGAAAAGGCTTTTCTCAAAAGGTGCCACAAAAGCACACATTTGCTGCTCTGCAAAAGTGATCTATGTTTAAATCTATGGTTCCTTCCCAAATTTTCCTTTCAGAGGGAAGTGCTGACGTAACACACATCTACCATGTGTTTTGCAGACAAGTTCATTCTGCCTGTGCTGGGAGCTGACTAGAAGAAGATAAAGCCAAACCAGAAGACATATGATCACTTTAGCATAATGCTGTGCTTGACTTAATAAGCCCTTCCAGGTGAACACAAAAATTGTCCTTTCCTGTATTTCCCCAAAAGGAAGCGTAAAGCAGAAGAGACAAAATCTGACTTTTTTTTTTTTGTATTTTTAGTAGTAGCAGAAGACTGGCAAAAGATTATTTTAAGGGGCTCACAGAGAAGCTCAGAATTAGTTTTCTGCTTAAAAGTAGATCCCGAGTCATTTATCAACATATCAACATCTCAATTCCTGAAAAATGTACTGGAACTGCTGGTAAGGTAGCACAAGTAGTGTTTCCTCCCTCCCTGTTTTCCTGTCCCCAATTTCTTTTCTCTTCTTTATTCTCACCTACACACATATACATTACCAGTAAGAGCCTTTTGGTTTTTCATATGCTTTTTTCCTATGTCCTCACTTCACTGTTTTGCTTTTGATTCTAAGTGCATTTTCACTAGTTTACAAGATGGGGAAAACACACATTCAGAATAAACTCAGTAAAAACAAACACAATGATAACTTAGTAGAGCTTTACACTAATAAAAAAAACAAAGTATCACAAAAATTAATTCTTGTATATTAGCATATATAATAGAATATTCTGATGTATAACTGGAAGAAACTTCTGTTGAAAGTAATCTGAAACACTAGATTTTGTACATTTTGAGAAACTAACAAATGTAATTAATACAACAAGAAAATAAGAAAAACGGAAATCGTGATGCACATAAACACTCACTGGGTTTAAAACCTACTGCTCCCAAGTCAAGATTCTGCAACTAATCCATGAAATTAATCAGCTCTAAAAGTAAATTTAAGATTTTTCAATGTCACATATTTTTAAAAACTTGGCTAACCTTTTCATCTCAAAATTTACTTAGGTAAAAAAGAATGCTCTGGTTTTGTGTAAAAAAAAAAAAATCAAAGTATATAACAAGTTGTATTTTCCTAATTCGTATAAAATAAAGTTTCTGGAACTGCTGCAGAAGTATCATTACACATTCTTACCATATCCTATAACAAAAGGATTCCAACAAAGCCTTCCTAGAAGCTGGCCAATTAAAGGGAACTGCTGTATTGCTACAATTGAATCCTGTTAAAACATAAAAACAAACAAAAAGATAATAAATATACTGCACATCAGAAGTAGGTTAGAAGAACTGTTAATGATACAGATTGTTGTAAATTACAGTCCCAGTGGTTTTGCTGTGAAATGCTCTGGAAGCAAAACACCTGCAGGTATGTAATAAAAGCAGAACTTCCTGAAATTGGCTATAATGTCATAATTCAAATAAGTTAAAGCTTAAGTAAGTAATTTCCTCAACCTAATACTTAATTATGGTAGAAAATGTGTTCATTTGCTTCCCATCCAGTAATCAGAAAACAGTATTAGTAACCAAGATTTCATGATAATAAAAGCACAATTAAACTAGATTTTTGTCGATCCTCATTGCTTTAATATACTGTCTCACAGAGTTTCTGAAGAAATGAGTACCTACTATGGCATAAAACTAATTATCTTTCTATTACTTTCACTTGCTTTCTTTAAATTAACTTACGTAATGACTAGCCAGTAACAAACTGCAATTTAACTTTTAACCAAATAGAAAGCAGCTTCACTATAAAAATAGTAGACAATGTAGTTTATACACAATTCTGTGTAATCAGTCTTATTTTTCCATTTTTGCAGCTTTACTATCTAATAAATAAAGGCTTTTAAAAATGGTGCTGTGCTGAGATAACATGCAAGTAGCAGGAACGATAACCATCTCCTGCTGCTGCAATAAATTCCTTACATTTGTCTCACGTTTGGGGCTAGCCCTAGACTTTCTGGGGCCATATTCACAAGGTCCATTTCAGGCCAAGCCTCGGATTATTTCCCTCCCCCTTAAGAAAATGACATATATAAATATGGGAAAACACCACTCCCCAAAAATCTTTTATTTAAAAGTTAAATTCAGTTCAAAACAAAATAACAACTCTTCAGATAAGAATATTTAAAAAGAAGTACTTCCATAAGAAGTCAGCCTCATGCCATAATGCAATATTTCTAAAGCTAATTATACTGACTACATATACTGAAAAAGCCATGCTCAGAAAAACATATACAAAACTAAACATATAAACAACTAAACTTACTTTTAAAAAAAGCACTCTAGTGAGTGCAGACACTAAATTACTAAACAGAACAGCCAGCAGCATATGCCAATGATCTGACCATGCTGCTAGAATTCACTATGTGTGCCACAACACTGGGGTTAACATGTCAACAGACTCTCCAAGATTTAAAGGATCAGTTACAGTTTTACATGTTAAGGCCTTTAAATAATCCAATTTATGACCTGACAACCAGAATCAAATTCTTGTTTATTTTAAAGAGTTTTTTAAAGAGGCTAGAGCATTGGCTGGGAAATCTCACGTGACAACAACCAATCAAGAAGAAAAAGCTCCTTTCACAATAAATCAGGGAAACAGAAAGCACACTCCTGTTTGCATTACCTGTGACTGTTTCCCCAATTTGCCTCTCTGATCCAGCAATACATTAGGTCAGTAACACAAACCTCTCTGCAACTGTTAGCTTCTAGTTTCGTCAAAACATGGTGCAGATTGTTTCCGAGGGTGTCTTCAAAACAGGTCACTCTTCCTTTTAAAGTCACTTACCATATGTTTTAAAGTTTCATAAATCTGATGTAGAAACTCCTGGAGCTGGGGCAAGTGAAGGCACACATCCTTCTGGGATTCCAAGGTGGTGGCTTGACCCCATTCAATAGCTTTATCCAACCAATATTCAAAGTTCAGTTTGGGCACCGTAGTGTCCTGGGCCATTCCACAATCCTGAAAAAAAGATTGTAACTCCACTTCAGGCAGCATTAAACACTGGCTTCAAACCAAGAATGAAAATGGGAAGAAGGATTTCTGCTAACTTTTTTTGTGTTCAGATGTGAATGGGGGTGTGGGGGGTATCTTTGTATTTACATCTCATAAGGGTGCCAATTTTCTTTGTAGTACTAAGAAGGTAAAACAATAACCCCATTGTGACAAAGTAGCAAAGGGGGCACAGTAATCAGTAAATTACCTTAAAATGTACCACCCAGATGTATCTCAGGCTTTTATTATCTGAATTTGTCGTCACCAATATTTCACTCAAAGAATATTAGAATAACGTGTGCATTTATTTAGAATGCTTTGCATAATGAAAAGCTGAAAATGACCATTTCAAGATAAATGAAAGCATTAAAATAAGGCTCAGTCAAAACAAAAGGGTTAGGGGGCCTTCACTTGTTTTAAGTTCTACATTTGTAATTGATCATTAGTTTTAAGTGAAAAAGAGTATTCTCCTTAAAGGAAACTAATACATTTAGTATTTCAGCTCTGTTTTTCTTTGTATTATTATACAAAGGAGAGGGAAAAAATATGACCACATACAGCTTTACATATAACTCAGTTCTGAATAAAAGTTGTACCATATAGAACCTATATCCAATGGCATACTTCGCTGTAAAAACTGGGTCTTTGAGAGATGAGCATTATTGCCAAGCCAGAATGTTGAAATCTAACCGAACTGCCCCAGTAAAAGACACACACACAAAAAAACCCAAACCCCACATTTTTTTCTGCTTTGCTATTACATTTTTCGTTGGCAGAAGGACAGAGAATAGCACAGCAGGCACTACAACAACCTTTAAATCTCTCTGAAAGAAACACCTCATAGGCTGAAAAAGCAAACGAGCTCTTGCAGCTATTCAATCATTGTTCTTTCTGTCAAGACTGTAAAAGACAACTGTCAATTAACACAAATGTGGTGGCAGTTTTCAGAAATGAACTGTTGCCCACTTGGAGACAAATTCAGACACTCATAGAAGCAACAGAAATCAGCGAATATTTATCTTTGTAAGCTACAGACCAAAAAAATAAACCTGAACCTGAGCAGCAGCCCTGCAAATCAAGCTTGCTTTATAAAGCTAACCCTTACAATCCCATCATTTATATAGCATGCTAATCTGAGACAGATAAAAATCTGAAGATCATTAATAAACTTGTTTAATTTCTACGAGTAATAAATAAATAAATACCCCACAGTGAATCACAACTATTATTTGACTTTGGATCCTGTCCAGAAAAAAAAAGTAAGATAAAGCTGTTGGCTTGCCAGAGTTCAATGTGTATTTGCCCTGAACATGTTCAAAGTAATGCAAGCAAAGCCAATGCTTTTGTGTTCTTTATTACACTCCCGTTCCTACCTGCAACTGCTGCTGTCAGCAGAACTCTAAACGGACCTGTGCAGTGCCAACATCTTACTGATCTTCTACAAGTATCAAAAACAGGCTACAAGACTTCATCACCACAGCTCTTTGAAATTACTAAGTCAAACACCCAGCAGCAATTAGCCATCAAACACTCTTATCATCACAGGGACGTAACAAAGACTTTAAGAACAAATTCAACCCAGGAACTGAATTTACAGATTTGAGTAAATTAATAAGCCTGTTTGATGCTCCCAGGTAAGATTAATCCTACCAAATAACTAAAAAATCAGTTCCCTAACAAAATGGCTCCTGAAAGTTTAAGAAAACTTTAAGAACAAATTCAACCCAGGAACTGAATTTACAGATTTGAGTAAATTAATAAGCCTGTTTGATGCCCCAGGTAAGATTAATCCTACCAAATAACTAAAAAATCAGTTCCCTAACAAAATGGCTCCTAAGTTTAAGAAAAAGGGAAGGGAAAGAAAAAAAGAACCAAAGACAGTCCAGCATTTTGGGGACTGTCACATAAGTTGACTACGTATTAACAGAAGATTCAAGGTAAGCAAATCAGCAGGCCTATCTCCTATACCAGGTACCTGTAACTACTATTCCAGTATGCAGAATGGCACAGCTATCACAGGGTAAGGATGGTCTTTTTCCAGAAGTCTGAAATCCCAGCTCCACAATAAGAAAAGTGCTTCATCTCCCTTCTTAATTACAGCTAAATAAATTGGATTGCTGGTCCAGAGAGACTCCTTAGCAACTCCTTAGCTGGTCAAGAGCCATTGCCTTACAGAAAAAACTGTCAAAACCTGAGATATACATTCTTGTTTAACTACAACAAAAAAAAGTCAAAAAGCAGTACATCAGCACAGATCATGAGAAAGCAAATCTTAAAAGTATATCTATTCTATATGCTGCTAACTGCAAGTATGCATTTTTTACAGTGTCCGATAGTTAATTCCCTTAAGATACCTGTCCTGTGTATCTTGGATATGAGCTGTCTCATCATCAGACTTGTCACAGAAATAAACCTGTCTTTTTTTCACCAAGAAAACAAAGTAAGTTCTGTGTTCAGGGCTATTCAAAATCCTCACCTGAAATGCAGTGTATTTTCCACAGTTGTCTTGTTGTATGAAAGCATAAGCAAAGGACTTGACCAAAAAAGACCCAACTACACATTCTAGAGTTCAGAGCCTATCTTCAGAAGGATCAATCCTCAACTTGCTCATTTCACATCATTTTCTGTATCTCATACCTCTCCTAAAACAGAGTTCAGAAATTTTAGCTGCCGTCTAATGCTCATTCATGGACAAGTTTACAGGCGAAAATGGAGGAGTCAGTACTCCGTCCCATTTCTAAAGTGGACTGAGGGACAAATAAATGTATTTTCTGTGCAATTGATTTTCTGAAACTGCTCAGAATACTATAATACCAGAAATAAGGAGCAAGTGACCTATATGACTAAGAGAACAGGTAATCCACAGTGCGTATCTGTAATAAGCTGTGGTATATACACTGAAAAAAAATGGGAAATAAACCATTAAGAGTGACATGAATAACAATCTTTGCACTCTTTTTGGGGGGAGGAGGCAAGGTTGAGCACTTCTGTAAAGCTTTATACAAGAACTACTCTTGCCAATTCAATGGTAGCAGAATCCCTTATAGCAACTATTAGGAACTGAATGTAGATTTTCAAAAATTATCATCACAAAAAATCTGTAAGTGCTAAAAATATTGCTATCATCTGTTTTGGGATACAATCAATTCACATTCTTATAAAACTTATCCTGAGATCTACAGAAGAGTATATTAAAGTGGCATTTCCAAGAATTGCTGCATTGTTCATACAGGCCATTGGCCCTTGTTTAGCATTTAGTCCGTGCTTCAATTCATCCTTGATCAAGAACATGCTTAATTTAATATGCACTAATATTTTGCTGCATCGCAACACTGCTTATGCCACACTAAAAGAAAACCAGAAAAAAAAAATTATCCCAAACACCTGTTCTATTTGCAATAGCATGATTTTTAAGCTGTACTTACGTGTTTGCTTTCTTTAGAAGCCACCAATGAAACAGTTAAAGTTATTGACTGTTTATTTTAACTATAGCATCTAGTCCTGAAAAGAGCAATTTTATTAATATAGCTTACTTTTGTCTTCACCTCAACATTACTGGAAAGCGTACAGTAAAATTACTGAATGGATAAATAACACAATTAAAAAGAAAACATAACATACCAAACCTGACACACAGATTTAATCTCAAAAACTGTCACAGGATACATATTTTATTAACAAGAGAAATATAAAACTATTAGTTAATTAAAAGTAATTTAAACATTCAGATCTCAGTAGGACACAGAACATACTAAAAGACATACAGAAATTATAGATAATAAAGACTTGATTAATAATTTGACTTGTCATACTGTCAAGAATATTCCTAAAGTCTCTTTCAGGTTCATTTTCACTCTCTTCAGTTAGTTGGGACTCCTTTTATTTCAGCTGCCAAGAATCAAAAACTGCTTCTTATTTATGACTACTTACTCCACAATATGAGAAATTCAGGAGCTGGATTTACTGTTAATCGCCTTAAAACAACCTTTACTTCTAGAAAGAAGGGGAAGAAATAGTCTTTAGTCCTCCTCTCTCAGAACCCCCCAGTCAAACCTTTCTGGGCTTGTACTTTCAAGCCCAGGGAACCCTGTGGAGCTCAGGCATGAGGGTACATGTTCTATCTTTCAGAAGCTGAAGGCAGCATTTCTAACAAGGAATGGATTAGCTTTATTCTGTCAAGTGAGCTATCTGGATTAGTGTCTGAAATGTAACACTTCAGTCAATAACTTTTGTTACCAGCTCTTAAGGCAAAGCCCTACAGTATACCAGGGCACTCCACTTAACAACAGTTACTGCTACAGCCTCCAGAACACACACATACAAACACCACACTGCCACAGCCTTCCACCTTAAGACATACCTGAGTACCCCTCATCTGTGATGGACAGTGAACTATTTGCAAGGGTAGAAGAGACACCAACAAAGTTTTCAGAAAACTTCTCACAACTATCTCCTTATCTATAGTCTGAAAATGAATTATTTGTGCATTCAGCACATAAGGCAGTAAAAGAATGAAGATTTTTTTCTCTAGAAATGTAGAAATAAAATCTCTTTAAGTAAAACCATAAAAAGAGAAAAATCAAGCGAAAGCAAAGTAACTTCTTTACTATTACAAACTCTGAAACTCAGGACTCGGCTATAGTAAAAAGGGAATATGCAGTTGCTAAAACATTACAGCCCCTCAGAAAGAATTTGTCAATCATAGAAAATTCAGTAACAAACTTTCATAGCTTTCAATGTCTCCAAATCTGGCTTTAATAGATTGCCAAAAATTACTACTAAATTTTTATTACATAGTTTGTCTTTAATCCTGTAAATTCAGCTGTTATTTTTAAATAAATAAAAGCATTTCAAGTGGAAGGATCTTTGAGATACCATTAAGGTACAATATTGCCTTATGTCACAGCATTCCAAATAAATGTGACAAAAACTTGCATTCAAGGTATAAAGCTCTCATTTGTGTACTT